GGGGGGCGGGCGGTGGCTCCGGGGCTGGGATCCGCGTCAGACCCCTGCCCGCGCCTCGGCTCAGGCCGGCTCCTCGCGCGCCCTTCTCGGGCGGGAACGAGAGTCCAGTCCCCAGCCCGGGCTCCGGGGCCTTGACTGTGAAAGCTCTATCAGTAAAATGCATCTCCCCGCGGGGCACAAGTGCGCCCCGGAGCCGTCCCGAATCGCGGGTGACTGCCGCGTGCGGGTCGGGCTGCGGGTGGCGGGAAGACAAACTTTTGCGAAAGTGCGCCTGGGCGGGAGCACGGCGCTCAGGGCGTGTGTGGAGGCTCGACGCGGGCTCCGCTGGGGAAGCCCGCTCCGCCGGCCCGCTCGCCCCGGGCACCGTCGGAGCTTCGGGGAGGGAGCGCGTGGGTGAAGGACGGACAAAACCCTGCTGACCCCTTGGGCCAACAACTGTCAAACATCTGGAAGCCAGCCCCTCCCTCCCCCTGCGCCGAGGAAGGTGAAAATCCCTCAACTTCCCTTTGATTGTCCTCCCGGCCTTGGGACGCCTCTCGGAATGGAAAAGGGCCGACCTCTGGTGCCTGGCCAGTGAGTACCGGAGACCCCCAAGCCCCTCAGGCTCCCCCTTCACCCACCTTCCTGACCGCCTCCCAGATGTCCTCCCCGCAGGGACCACGCCACAGAGCCCGTGGAGATTGTGACGAATGGCCTTTTGTTTCTCCGCGTCTCCCCTATTGTTTGCCTTTGCAACATCTGGCGGGGCTCGCGGAGAGAAGGACGCCCCCGGGGTCCTCCCCGCACTCCCCCCGCCCCCCGCCGGCCACAGGGCCGGCTCCCGCCCGGGATCCCCACGGCGGAAGGCGAGGAGCCAGACCCCGGCGCGGCCGCCGCACCCAGGCCCTGCGGTTAGAGGGCGGAGGCAAAGTTGCTGCTTCCCCGCCTCCTCGGCTGCCTGGGGCCCGGGGCGCGTTTCTCAGATCTGAGCCCAGACGCGCCGCGAAGGGCGCAGCCGGAGAGAAGTGCTGCTCTCCCGGGAGTGAAAGCGACCTTCCGCCCTCCGCCAGGGTGCTTTGGGTGGCTCCAGTGGATTTAAATCTCCGCCCGAGGGCCTGTGGCTGAGCCGCTTCCAGGGCCGCGGGACGGGATCAGGGCACTTTTGGTAGGCAGAAAGCCGAGGTTCTGGGCTCTGCGAGTTTCCAAGGGCTGGGGAACAGGCGAGAGTGGAAAAGGAAGTAACCCAAGAAGCCTCAAGACTTTGCCTAGAAGTAGTGGTTAGGTGGCTCCCTCCAGATTGAACGTGCAATTTTGACTTGGGGTAGGGCTGGCTCCAAGTTTAAATCCCGGGTCTCCTGTCAGCATTTAGAAAAAGCAAATCGGAGGATACCGCATAGACGCCATGGGGGCAGAGTTCCCGCCAACAAGTCCTTGTGAACCAGTGGCTTGGGACTGCCTCCGAGTTCCCCCTGGGGGTGCGCCTGTTAGATTACAGGTGACCCTGTTTCTGTGCCTTCCCTCACAAGTTAGATGCTTACACATCGTGCTTCTTCTTAGTGAGTGTGGATTTAAAAAGAAGAAGAAGAAGGGCAAAAGCAAAGTAGCTACTCTGAGAAGGCAGGGTTCCCGTCCAGTGCCCCGACAGTCGTTTTGCCTGTGAGGGGAGGCCAAGCCTGTGCACCTGTTAGAACCTCTACATGCTCAGCTTTACTATAGTGGTGTTACCAGCTTTTTCTGATGGAGGCCCAATCGTCCCTATTCCAAGGAAGCACAGTTAAACACTTTTTACCGTCTACCTTTTGATCCCTTCCCCAAGCCTGGGGAGGGAGGAAGCAAGCTTCCATCGGAATGCTTGTGACCTAGGTGCCCACTCAAGCATTTTAAGTGGGAGCTCTGCACAGTTCTGCACAGTTCTAGGAGTTTTCCCTTTACCTGACTAACAGAAATTTGACTTCCATTCAATAAATAGAAAAACAAAGACTACTAAGGAAGGTGGACACAGAGCATTTTGGCAATTTCTGGATTATTACCAGTGGCACCAACAAAAGAAAAAAAGCAAAATCTGAAGCACTGGAAGGCACTTTACAAACGTCTCATTATGAAAATGATGGCTAAAGAAGGATTCCTTTGAAATTTAGCAGCAGGAGAGAAGCAACAAGGCAGACCTGGGTTGCTCAAGAAGTGCCCAAAGGCATCATTAACCAAGTGAAAGGGCAGTGTTTGTCCCAGTCTACCCCCAGTATGGAAAACAGGGTAATTGTAGTGGAAGATGAGCTTGTACAGTTTCTTTAATTTTAGAATTAACCTCCCTTCCCCGGAATCATCGTAGAAAAAATAGAAAATACAGAGAGGTAAAAATGAAGACAAAAGGAAGGGGGTGTATTATAAATAAGCCTCCAGTGAACGCTCTTATCCAATGATTTCCTTGGATAAATTTCTGGAGCTTAGTATAGCTAGGTTGAAGGAGTTAATGCATTTTTTAGGATATTTAAGATTGCCATATCGTCCTCTAGGGAAGTTATGCCACTTTACCTGCTGTCTAACAACATACAAGAGGATTTTTTCTTCCTGTATCCCACACCCCACTCACATTCTATATTATAATCACTCTTTTTCATTTCTGCCAGATGGATAGGAGGTACGCTCTTGTCTTCTTTTGTATTTCTTTAACCACAAATGAGATTAAACATTTTTCCTGTTGTCTTTAGTATTTCTTCCTTTGTGATGATGCCAGTTTATGTCCTTAACCTATTTTTTTTCAGTGGGAATGTTCTCCTTTTTCTGACTAGAGGTGCTCTTAATAAAAGCATGCTGTTCTGACTTCTGACCCTGCCCTTGTAATCGGACAATCTTTATTGACTCGAAGTGCCAATTCTCTTCCCTCTAGCATAGCAAACATTTGGCAAGACTGCAGCCATAAATTACTGAAAGAACTGACATGATCTCGGTAGAGTTATTAGGGAGACTATGCAAAAGCATTATTAGAGAAATTCTTGGAAAATACCAAGTGTATACTTTCTGCTTAGTAGCTTGCATGCCCCAACATCTTTACAGTTTATGGTGCCTTTTTTTTTTTTTCATTTAGAACAACTCTTGATGAGCTGTTTTTACTAAATGGATTTTACTAACTCATTTTATTTGCATTCGTTCCACTGATAACCAGGATACCATAATCCACAACTTTTAACTTTTGCTGGAAATTTGCCTCAGTTTTATAAGACTCTCTGGCTTTACCATTTGAGTCCTGTACTGAATGAACTTTGAATCTAAACGTTCAGGAGCTTGCTTTTGAAACAGTATAGCAGGAGAGGTTTCCCAAGGGTGGAACCAGGTACTTTTGTGCATTTGCATTTGTGTAGCCACAAATCTCTATGTTAATTCTTGCTTGAAGGTACAGGATTCTGAAATGGGGAGAAGGAGAGAGAGGAAGAAAAAAAATTAATTTCAGCTGGATGATGAATTAATACAGATGAAGGATCACACAAGAAAATTTAAGTAAATAATCTAGGTAATCTGGATACAAATAATTTCTAAAAAGATAAACTATATTAAAGTGTCATGTATTATTATAACTAGTTTACTTAACAGACAGAAAGTGGTCTTCTATTTGGGAAAATCCAATGTGAAAATCAATGTGAAATATGACTGCAAGTACTTCATCTCAGGCATTTAAAAAATACGGAAAAGGGGCTCAGATGGTTAAGTGTCTGCCTTCTGCTCAGGTGGTGATCCCAGGGTCCTGGGATCAAGCCCTGCTTCTGGCTCCTGGCTCAGCAGGAAGCCTGCTTCTCCCTCTCCCTCTACTTCTCCCCCTGCTCATGATCTCTCTCTGTGTATCTCTGTGTCTCAAATGAATAAATAAAATCTTTGAAAAGGAAAAAAAAATAATAAAAAATACGGAAAAACAATGAAAGGCAGATATATTTTTCTGCAGCATTTTCCATGCCGTTGGATGTAGAAATCAAATATTATGCAGTACGAATGAACTGTGTTTTCTACCTTAGAATCATTGTCTCTCAAAGGTTTGAGTGAGAACTTAATGGCCAATCTAATTCAACCATCTGATATCATTGAGTATCTTCATTCTCTTAAAAAAATAAAATTCCATCCTACAAACTATATCATTTCAAACAAACCAAACTGAGAAGCAAAGAGGACAAAAATTTCACTTTTTTTTTTTTGAGTGGGGAGAGAAAGGGAGGGTTTTAACTCTATGAAAGCTTGTATAAGCTCCTTTAACATGCTCAACTTTTATAGAATAAACAGCCTTGGCAGCATGACAGTTAAATCACCAAGGTGTTTCATTTTGCAACATTCTCTCATTCATATCCTCTACATTGGCTTGGTGAAGTTCAAAGGTGGTAGAGCAAAACAAGTACAAAATAGCAAAAGGGAAGAGGAAGAAAAGAGTCGAACATGGAGAGGATCTTACTCCTTTAAAACTATCTTCAGAACTTTCTAACAAGACTGTTGGTACCCAGAGGATGATTGGCATCACCTCTTAGAAATGTGGATGTAGCTGATATCTCAAGGCCAACTTTAGAGACAGTAAACATTACCTAAATCACTGCCACTCCAACAGTGGGCAGGCTTATAGGATAGCCCAATAATTCTTAAAAAGAAGAGAAGGAGAAGGAGATGTTGGAGAGAAAAGGAATTTTAATTCTAAAAATATACCTTATTTCTTTCTGAGTAGTACTGCAAATTTCTGAAAGTAGTAGAAACATCTTCTGATTTCCACTCGGATGATTTCCCAGGCACAGTGACTGTATTTCTTTTCTTTCAGGAAGTTGTCTATCCTATTGAAATATCTCCTCAGTTCTAGGTTGCTCAGCTGGGAGACCATAGCTCCTGACCAGTTCATTCCGTTCTCTTCCATCTCTTTGGAGTCTTCCTTTTCTTTCTCCTCTTCCTCCAAGCATTGTTCCAAGTACTGCAGCTGCTGATAGAGTCCAATTTGGATTTGTTTCAGATAGTCCTTTTCCCAAGTGGATTTGAAGGTGTGCTGACTGAAGATGTTGAAGGCCTGTATGGACATTTCATAGAAGGCCTCCTTGATGTACCTTTTCACAGGCTGGGTATGTGATAGGATCTCTTGGGGCAACTCAAAAGCTGTGGTTTCTTGTAGGCACTCTACGGGAAATGAACTGCTCGTACTGCTCAGAAGTCTCAGATTTTGCCAGGTGACTTTCTTCAGATGAAAATGCAGCAAGTTACAGTCCAGAGAGAGGATGCCAGTGATGAGCAGACCCACAAGGCATGCAGGCCACAAACACGTCCTAAACAAGTCAGGCTTAGTGCTCATTTTTTTTTCCCCAAGCTAAAAAATCCACCAGACTCAAGGTTGACAGTGATGTTTTAGGTCTTAAGTACTCCTTCATGTGCCTTTATACACCTGAATAATCTTCAGTGGGGAGGAGTTTTCTCATTCCTCATTTTATGTTTCTCAGGGTTTCAGCCCCTTTCCTTTGCCTCTGAGGTTTGTTTTGACTTTGGGTGACTACGCTGACTTTGGAAATGCTAATCTTTTTCTTTAAAGTGAGCAAAGCTTTACCATTACGTTACCTTAGTTGTCTGGATGACCCATCCCAGTACTATAGGATTGTCATAACAAGATTGATAACAGTATTTCAGAAAGAACTGAAAGTTCTGACTCTATACCACTTATTCAACACTATTACGTAAGAGAGCCATCCATTAAAGAAATTATCATCATTTTTTTTTTTTTAATTTTTTTTCGTATCTGGCCATGTAGCCAAACATCTTCTCTCATTGAGTTAATCATAGACATTGGCCACATG